ATTCACAAATTTGATTTTTATGAAATACTAGGCTGTATTCTTGTTCGCCCGATAGTGATGTTTAGAATCCACTACTTCACATTGTCAACGTTTCTAAATCAGTGCATACTAGTGATGACGTCACATAAAACAGTTTAGTAAAGAATTTTTATATACATGAGCTCGTTATTGTAATAAACTCGTTATTTCAGCTTTGATTTGGATTGAAATCTTCCTCTTTCAAGTAGGTACACACGTGACGACGAGGGTTAGTCCGGATATCTATTTTACTATCCGGATAACGGATATCTCGTATTCTCCGGATATTTTTATTGTTAGAGGATCGATTTTGCAAAATTTTTGTGGTACTATGCGATATGAATAAAATCACGAACAAACAAAACAAACACGAACAAAAGAAAATCCATTTTTAGCAATTTATTTGGGCGAGAAGTATCCAAAAAAGCTAGTTTACAGCGGAGACAAAGTCCACTGAAAGACGATAGATGATTCCAGATACTTAAGAGGGTATTATGGGAAAATGAATGAGGAGGTAAAATAACAAAGAAATCGGCATCTCCTCTCCAGTTGCGAAAACAGCCAAACTGTTTAAGTCACAGAATATGGTTTCAGAAGTGCGGGATTTCTCAAATGAAACAAATCGTATTTTTTTATTGGTCATTCAGGAAAACGGGCAAAATTGAAAATATATACATATTCATGCCTTTGCGAAATGACCATTGACCATTTATTACTTTTTCTGCAATGAATTTCGTAAAAAGAACATCGCATCAATTATGGAGTGGTGCTGTTCACACGTTTCGCATTTTCCCCTTTTGCCATTTCTTGATCGCAGAAAGTAGTTCCACACAGGATTGTAGCGCTTGCACTTTTATAGCGCTTGAATTTCATTTTAATGACTTTTGAAACATAACCTGCGTTCGTGTACCTTAAAATTTAGGAATGTACACAGATTACATGTAGTCCGAGACTCCACTTATTTTTACGCTTTCGCATTGTAATAAAGGTTCTCAAAATTCAAACTGTCTCATTCCATCATAAAAGACGTTCATTCAATACACCTCAACAACTAAAAGGGCAGATGATACTAGGCCTACGTCGCGTTAATCGTGGAGTATTAGCATCGTGTCCCGTCCCGAAGCAAAACGCCGCCCAATTGCCTCATTTTCCAGACAATATACCAGAATCCTAATGGCAAAAAATAGCGGCAGCAAAAATAGTCATCGACAAAATTTGCTCTGGGGGATAACGCCATTTAGCAAAATATATGAAAATCATTTATGAGCCTATATATGCAATATTTATGCTATTAGCTATCCGGTTAACCGCCAAAATAATAAAACCTAGTGACGACTCTGCTTTGTATTGTAAAAATCGTGTGAATAAATTGTAAAGCCAACTTACGGGTCTCGAGGACATTGATCTTCTTTAGTCAAAGCATTGGTGAACCAAGTCACATCAGTCATTTTATTCGTATCGAACTTAATCTCATAAACAAACCTCTTCACAGAAATTATAAATTTTTAAGTACACTTTTACTTATCTGCTAAGAAAAATATTCGTGCAACAGCAGAGCAAAATAGTATTCCACATATACAACTTAAGTTTAACCAAGCTTCCGCGTAATGTAGCTTTGCAAGGCTAAATCGATATATTTCGTCACTGTATCCAAAATAAGATAGACTTGGCAATGTCACGTAGAATGAAATTTTCGATCTTTTGTCGCTATGAACTATTGACATCATCGTATTTTGAGTCTTATCCGCCTTGTGGCACAATTAAAATACGGACAGAACAGTACAAGAAATGGATTACTAAGAATATGGTAGTTTTCAACAAAAACATTTGATGTGCAAATGCTAGTATCAAATATTATACCGTACGAAAGGCATCAGAAATCGCACAACAAAAAATGTATATATATAAATAGAATGTATGTGCATTACATCCGCCGACTCTCCGCTCCTGCGTGCATATCACGATTGAAATTTAATGATGGAGGTTCAATAGATAGGCTACAGTCTAACTTCGACTCCCATCTTGAAATAGATTGAGCTGAATGGCATGTGGTCTAAATCAGTAATCGGCAACCACCGGGCCGCGGCCCATTGCCGGTCCGCGAATGGGTTACTACCGGTCCGCAGAAAGGTGACACAAAAACGGACAAGGCTCAAATAACACCTCAACGATCTAACAACCACAACTAAAAAACATCACCCAATAGCAAAGCAGACAAATACAACGCATCTAAGCAGTATGTCTGATTTCATAAATAATTTTCGGTGACAGCACATTTGAACCCATACATTTGCACCCGTATATCCGCGGGTTCAATCTATATGTGGGTGCTAAAATCCATGAGTTAGGGTTAGTATGGGTTCAAATATCCGTAGGTGCAAATTTCCATAGGTTCAATAGTATGCAGGTGCAATTGTACTGGGTTCAAATTACGGGTTCAAATATAATGGAACCATAATTTTCACGTCACTATGTCGCAATAATGCTGCATCAATTTTGCCTCTGCGTGAGAAAGATCCACATCAGTCTAAAATTCAGTGCTCTTCAACAGGAGTTCCGCGGAACTCTAGGGTTCCGCAATAGGCCTACATGCAGTGGAGTTCCGTCAGTTTATAGGGTTCCTTGGGGGTTTCGCGTTTTTTTTTAGGGGGAATCATTTCTTGCTTTAGCATGTTGATGCGTCGTTGCGAAGTTGTATGAGAATTCAAGAAGATTGCAAAGGAAATGCAAGAACAACCTAGTCATTAAATTCCACGCTTGTAACCTTCTTGTGTTTTGTTGTTGAAGTAGAGATATTTTTTTTTTTAAGTTTATGTTTTTTTTCAAGTTTTATTTTAAGTTTGTTGATTGGGGCTCCATAAAAATCGAAATATTATATCAGGGGTTCCACAATAACAAAAGGTTGAAGAGCACTGATCTAAATAAGTCTTAAACATAATGATTCTCGCTAACAGCGTGACTGTTGGATTTGTAACCGTACGTGACATCAACGAAATTTTTCCAGTTTGCGACCTTTGTCATACTAAGCTCTCAAATGAGGCAATGAATCCTCCTCTTTGAACGATTGGGTGGTCTTGTCAACACCGAAACAGGCTGGACGTAAGCAACATGTTATGTGTATCATTATCGACCATGTCTTCCGATTGGGAACAGTTAATGGGCAGCAAACAAATGCAGATCTTGATTGAATAGCATCACTTTTGTTTTCGAATATGCCAAATAAATTTTCTAACTCGTAATATGTTCATAACTGTATCTAAGTTCTTTGGATAGAAGTGGGCCGCCAAAATAGTTGTCAGGCTTTACCGGCCCGTCACTTAAAAAAGGTTGCCGACCACTGGAGACATAGCGCATTTACAAAATAAGTCTTGTGAAGCATGCAGCTGCATTTTAATGCGGCATAATCTGCTCGTAATGAGTATAAACATTGAGCTTATGTTCTTAATGTATTTCCGGAGTAGAACGTGTTGTATTATCATATACATGCATGGTTTATGTTTTATCGCTCGTTTGAACTTGATTTACAAATTCGTCTTCATACTATTTTGGCTTCAACTCGTGACTTCGGATAAAAAATTATTTTGCCTTCCAACTCCGGGTTGTAAAAATGTTGAGAGAAATGTAGAGTCAAAACTCAAAGCATTTTACATTTTCTGTTCACATCAGTTTGTGTGGCTGCATGGTTCATCTGGGCGGAATTTTCCATTTCCTTCTTCGCGCTCGAACCGAATTTTTGTCAAATTCATGGAAACGCACTGGAATCGGATATGTCGTTATTTATACCGTTAGAGTGGCTCAAGTTAACATTTTGATCCTCGATTCGGTGTTCACACGGCAATTTTGCGTCTTATCTAGCTGCAGTGTTAATAACATTGAAGGTGGGCCGCGGACTCATCGAGGTTGAGAATTTCTGTGCCACACCGATCGTTTGTAAAACAAACGTTGAAGTTCTTAATGAACTTTCACTCAAAACGGTTTATGAGCCAAACGTTGGAATTCTTAATAAACTTTCACTCAAAACTCAATTCATATGTAATTTAATATATTATATATGCACACGGAAGAAAAAATCGTTGAAGTAATAAACATTCATTGCATTCAAATCATACTCTACCACCAGTTATTAGACATGATTGACAAGGTTTAGTTGACAAAATCGTAAACCGACTTTGTTCCAACAATCACAGCCGGTATAGGTTACCCCCAGTGGTGATGAATAGATGTTTGAATTTTTAAATGTTTCATCTTTATTTGTAGTTTTCGACCATATACAGAATACAATCCTACAACTTCAATCTAAAAACTATATCACTCTTTTGAAAAGATATTGAAAAGTATACACGTTAATCGAAATCGTGTCATGTGATTCCCAATACTGTAAATATAAATATTTAAATGAGTCGTTCCGGTCAGAGCATAGATTTAATTAAGTAGCCTATTTGGGGAATGAATTCTAATTTATTATTGCTGAACAAAAACAAGATTACGAAAACTTAAATTGCATCATTTGTTCCTACTCGAATCATAATTAAAAATTTGGAAAAAATTAGCTTTGTTTTCATAATTTTGATTCAAATTGGGGTAAATTTTGAATTGCTATTGATAAAGGGCTTAACTTAAAGACTGAGGGAAATACATGTATATATATATACAATTCTGAAAAATTATTGGAATATAAATATACGAGTATATGTTTAAGTGTTTCATGGGATGCTTTTTTGAATGGAATTGTATATTCATCAATAAAGCGATAAAGTTGCACTCGTTCGGAAAATACAAATAAAAAACTCGTTGAAATAAGAACTGATACATTACAAGAGAAAACAAAACCTCTTTTGACGCAAGCCTCCAATGGCAGTAAATTTTGAAGAAAACAAAAAAGAGAATTCTAGTGCGAATATTGAAACTCCGTATAAAACAGAGCATAGAAAAAAAAGTTCTAGCAACTCCGAAGTACCAAAGGCAATCGGAAGAAAAATTTCAAATTATCATCAGATCAACGTATAACATGTGTTTTTTGCGTTACAACAAGCATGTTCGATATACAAAAGTAATCTAACGATAGCAAAAAAGAGCAAGTTATGATTTATACACAATCAATAATCTTGGTCATTAACAAAAATTCATCCTACTCGGAAACGTAAAAAGTGGTATAATAGACAAACAATTTTAACACCAAGTCTCGAGGAAGATGTAGTCACATGAACATAACATTGTATTTTCATAATTTTTTGGTAAATCGCTTGTTGCTTGTCGGTAATCTCGTTGTTTAAATATTTTTTCTTTTTCGATGATGTAAATAAAATTTTAAAGTCTGAAGGGTTTGATATTTTCGCAATAAAATCTACAATCGAATGCAAATATTTAGCCTTGTGTTCACCTTTTAAATCTCGTATATTTGAAGGCTGTTTGTTTATGTCCCTTTTTATTTTCCCGCGTAGAATGGATTTTAAATGACAAAGGTGTATTTTAGAGACATGCTAATACACTAACGATAAAATATGAGGATGGAAGACGAAATATCATCTTTTGAATGAGCGGATCCGTTTGCAGACGACTGTGCGATAATGTCATTTGATTTTCCTCCCCATCCTAAAAAAGTATGTAATGGAATCTTATTGTAGAATCAATATCAAACCTGGTGTCATTTAGTGAGATGTATTGATTAGCAGCAGATTACGTGTGCTAATAATATTTATTTCAACTTCTCACTCTTTTATATCATACCTGCAAAGTCACCGCATGTTCCATATTTTGTTGCATCGTTTGATAAACCCCCAATGCATGAATATTCAGGTGAGATTGATTTAACCCTGAAACATAAATTGTTGTTTTACATTTTTTCCCTCTAAACACAGCTTCCACCGCGAGTAGATTTTAAACTTGGGTAATAAATATTCTCGTTTCTTCGGTTTAGTGGATGTTTTTTATATTACTCTTTTACACATTTACTATACAATGTGAAAAAAAAACGCAAATATGACTTGATAACACTTACTTCACACCTGGACATAACGCATTGGGGTATCCCGTCAAATTGTAGGCACGAAACTGCAGATATCCCGGCTCGACATGAGCTCTGTAAATCGGTGGTATCATCTCCATGATTTGATCATTGCTTCCTTTGTCAATAGTGATTGGAACCAGAAGGGAATTTTCCGAATACTCTGAAAGACATAATATAAATAATTTTAAAAAGATAACGAACAGCAATCAAACAACGTTAACTCAATTAGCATTGCAGTGAAATAAAAAAAAATACCATTGAACAGATCATCCACGGACATAATTGCGTTCAATATAATGCTTGCAACGGCGTCAGATTGAGTTATTGTCACGTTGCTTCCATTTTGCCTATTATTGAAAACAAGCACGAATATTTTAATTATTGATAAATCCAGTTTTTATTTTGTATCAGCAACACAGAAATCTTTACCTACTAAGGAGCAAATACCCCATAACTATGTTGGATGGACTACCGTCGATTTGAAACCTGTTGTATCTGTATTCATCACCAATGTAAGAGTACGTGCGCTCGAACAAAGATGGTTCGACTGAACTCCACTTCTAGATAAAAAATATATTATTTATGCATTACTTCTGTAATAAAAATATCTATAGCTTAAGAAAAAAAACTTTTCGTTGGATTACTAAAAACGAAATTCGGACTATGGTTAAATTTATTTGAAAAACGAATAAGAATTCAGTTTTGTTGAGTCAGAAAAAATGCAAGGTATTCTATGATATACAGATGTATGAATGCATTATCTTGCAAAGAGATTAATGACATTATGCAAATAATTGTCTGCTTTGTTGTCGGTGGTAGGTGTAGCTACGGTGAAAATTACATATTTTTAATGTTTATAATTATGTGCTTCAACGTGTACTTACTGCAACGTTAGACACGGTGAAATGAAATTCAACCGGAGTTGGTTGGTTTTCGTAAGAGAATTGGATCAAGTTATACTGTAGTTTATAATTTCCGTAGGTAACGTTGTTCTGCAACTGACTGACTATGTCCTCATCGTTGTTTCGTCGTGAATTGATCTGTAAAATATTTTCTTGGTGTTCATACTTTTTTTCGAAGGAAAATTTTGACAGATCAGTTAGATATGTTGTGTTTTAGACATGAGTTTACTCTCAAATCGTGCTGTTTATTTCAATAAAATTTGAGTACTCCGATTCTCAAAGCACTAATTAAACATTTTAAATATATGCTGAAACGGTACCTCGTTCGAACCACTTGTCATCAAGCACAAAACAACTTATGATCAATACCTATGATGAAAACGTCAGAACTGAAACGAGGTTCAACGTTGTGCATTTATGTGTTAATGATTCAGCACAGAAACTGTGCTATAGTACTGATTATTTTCATTCCATTTCTGATTCCTAGCCTATGGAAAATTAGCGGGGCTTTGTATTTGAGTTAAACAAGTGAAGAAAATTCACTTACTCGTGTGTAGTAATATTTGATCACTCTATCTTCGTTTGAGATAACATTTATCATGATAAACGGATGAGAATTTTTGCTTTTGACTAGTGATCTGTCTCTATCCATTCTGTATAGATCACAAATAAGTAGAAGATAAATAATATATCACCGTGTTTCCCCAAATTGAGCTGAAGATAGGCTTAGAATTTACATATCAAAATATTAATGTATTCGTATAGATTAACCTATAAATTCCATAAAAGATATTTGATGATGCTTAGGTTAATTAGTATAGATTCTATAGAGACTCTTTACTTCACTTTGCATAACGCTCTATAAGCGCTTCAATTATAATACTCGAATATCTACTTCTTACAACAGACATATTGACAAATATATAAAAAAATGATTACCGTCTAGTTTCCCCATATTGCAACCAATTATGTTCAAGTGAGCTTCCAACGTTTACCTAAAATGAATAAGAGATAGTGGGATTGATTCGAAATGAGATCTTATGATATGATTAATGAATTTTCGTAACTTCGTAAAAAAATACTATTAGTCATTTAAAACGCAATATCATGTATTCAATACTATTGTTGATTGGACGTTGATGTGTTACTTCCTAGCTGACTTCGATAAGCAAATAATTTTTGTAAATTGCAATGATGAGCAATTTGAGTTATTAGGCTATTAAAAATACATACTTCATTTTCAAAATCGGAGTTCATGTTAGTGTCGTATATTTTAATGTGGCTGCCTCTATAATAATAATAATAATAATCCGGGATTGCCACTCTCATTTGAGGTGCTCTTGCGTAGAGGGAATTAACAATCTTTGATGCCCTGTCGCCTGCAAGTGAATAAAAACAGTTGCAAAAACATCGAAAGTTTCGTTCTTAAAAATCGGATTTAACCTGAATATATTCAATGATTAATGGTTATTTGATGATGACATGTGTTGAAGTACACTGTTAAAAAAATTAGTAAATATACTAATTTTTCTAGTAAATTTTTACTAATTTTTCGTTTAATTTTACCTTCTACAAGAGTATTTTATTGAAATCACGTGACTTGCTTAGCTGAGCCAATCAGGGTGCTTGTTTGTTAATAGTTTACTAATGAATAGTAATTTCACTGATCAGTTAGTAATTAATATAACAGAAAAATAGTAAAAAGATTAGTATACTTGGAAAAAGTAAAAAAATCTAAGATCCTCTAATTTACGAGTAACTATTCTTTCCAATAAACGAATTTATCTACCTACGCATGCGATATAGTCACGAAGCAAATTTAAATACTCCTTTAGAATTTCATCTAAATTTTGCTCTGGGTATTAATTTGAATTAATTTTATTCTAAAATTATTTTGGTTCATCACCCAAAAATTCTGATTGTTTTGCTATTGCATTAGACAAGATAAGATATTGTTTTTATATATTATTTTTCCGGAAGTAAGCGGACCTATTTGTCCAAAAATTCATCCGCAAAAACTCCACGAGGCAGGTTGCGTGCGCAGCATTTTTGATTTCGAGTTTCCTTGCCCATCTCGGCTGGGACGCTAAGCTGTTTGGGAGCTCAGCATCGGTTGCGTGCGTATGAAAACTGAATGCGGTACGTATGTTAAGTATGCAATAGCGTGAGTCTGAGTTTGATGATTGTGTTAGCAACGGTCTGTACGGTAGCTGCGAATTTACCACGGGTAGTGGTCTGAATATTGAGGTACCGGTACTGGTACTTTTTGCAGAGATCAAAGTGTCCTATATTTTAATCCTTCTCTTTCCGGTCATAGGTCATTTAGTACCGGTAATGTGCCAATTATGACATCACTCAAATGTCACGTGCCTGTAGCCCGCGCTTTTTCTGGTTCAGGAATTAGGACTCGGTAAGCGAGGCTCTTTGTCGTTAGTGGATGTTTATTTTAGGCGGTTGGTTTTTGTAGCTTTTCATGCGTTAATTGAGCATGTTTGTGTTACAGTAGCAGACTTGTAGTTGGTAGACCAAAATATTCTTTAAATACCGTGTACATCAGCATCTAATGGTACCGGTACCGTAGCCTACCTGTATACAGCGACATGCTTACACACTGCGTTAGTTTCGCCGTCTTACCGGTACCGGTATATATCGACGACCAAGAGTAAAAATCTGAATTGGCTATTTCAGTATTTGTTTCGGAATAGATGTAACTTACCGGTAGCCTATGGTGATAGGATACGTTCAAACGTTACAAGTCAGTGGCAACAATAGGTACGGTACCGGTAACAGACAGATGAATTCAACTATACCTACAAAGTCTACAAGGCGGCCATCTTGTTCGGAACGTATTTGGCGATTTCACAATTTACACTGTATTATTTGACTGTTTTTAAGCGTTTTAGCAGGGTTCTTGGTGTTTTTTGACGGGTTTTCACTGTTTTTAAGCGTTTTAGCAGGGTTCTTGGTGTTTTTTGACGGTTTTTCACTGTTTTTAAGGGTTTTAGCAGGGTTCTTGGTGTTTTTTTACGGTTGTTCACTGTTTTTAAGCGTTTTAGCAGGATTCTTGGTGTTTTTTGACGGGTTTTCACTGTTTTTAGGCGTTTTAGCAGGGTTCTTGGTGTTTTTTTGACGGTTTTTCACTGTTTTTAAGCGTTTTAGCAGGGTTCTTGGTGTTTTTTGACGGTTGGTCACTGTTTTTAAGCGTTTAGCAGGGTTCTGGGTGTTTTTTGACGGTTTTTCACTGTTTTTAAGCGTTTTAGCAGGCATTATTATTTAGAACATTGAAATATTCAACCAATAAGAAAATTTCTGAATTTATAAGTTCTTCAAAATCGGAATCAAAGAGTCTGAAAACTGAATTACCAAAATCGACTGGGGTGGTCACGTTGATCGCCTATTATTTCGGAGAAAACCTAAACCAAATATTTAAGTGTTTCCAGGTATGTTCTATGCTTTTTTTGTGTAAAGTACTTTTTTTTGAAAGTTTTTGCATCAAGAGTAATGTAACTTCTGCACAACACTGTTCGTATAAAGTTTTGTGAGCCGACTGCAAATTAATTGGAAACTAACTGCATGATAGTGGTTAACGGAATTTTTTTGCATATACATTCACTACTTTGCCTATTTTCAGAAAGAAACCACTTTTTCCCAGATATTAAAAGATATTCCAAAATCTCCATTTATTGCTTGCATAGGTAAGTGTTAGAGGTGAGCGATGTAATTGTGAATATCGGGAACAATTTCGAAAAATGATATGATAGCTGTTTTCCTGTGATTAATTCTGCGCAACTTTTTCAAAGGCCATTTTGTGTCGCCATATACTTCTCAGTTGTGATTATTATAAAATAATATCACCAGCTTCTGTCATGCAACCTGCTTTAACTGTTGCGTCACAGTATGCATTGCTTGAAATATGAAATATATTATTTCTGAAAGAACGTAATGCGCATCATAAGCCTCATCAATGTAATAAGTTCTCCCTTCGTTTTATCAGTGTTGCGCTTGCTATCAACGGTGAGTGAAAATAAGAACAAATCCATGTCTGCTATGTTAGATATATAGCCAAAGCCAATTTGGAGATGATCGTACTATTATACAATTAATAATTGTGTAATTGCATATTATCAAAAAAATCACTAATCATCCACCTCTAGTAAGTGTATTTGTTATTAGTTGGCTTTAGAAGTTGAGATAATAAGATTAATCAACCTGTCGAGTGACTTTCACTTTATTCATAAGCCTATAGATTCGAAGCTAAAGTTTACAATCTTGTGTTTCAGGTAACACGGTAGCGACTGCTGAGACTTTTTACGTCATCGCTGAACGAGAAGTGGTGTGTTCCTGTAGATCGTTTTTTGAAGCGGTAGCTTTTCAGTTTGCTTCGTTCTATGTTTTCAACATAGAATATCCAAAGAAGGCCTTGCTGACGTTTGATTTTATTCAGAGGTAAGAAAAAATGTGCTAGTCTACAGTGCTGATATAATTCTTGCTGTTGGCACAATGTACACGTTGTTGACGAATTACCTGTTTCTTCTGTCATGTAGTGTTATTTGATGACATACAATACAAAAAATGGGTTGTGAAAAGGAAATATGTGACTGGACTTGCACAAACTCATGGTGTCCATATCCTGGGGACTGGGCCATAAGTGGGGCTGAGAATAATTTAATTAGTTAAACAGTTTTAGGTGGTTAATAATAGACTGACTGGCGGTACCACACATGTTTCCTCCTAATCTAATATGTTTTACATCCATATGTGAAAAATGAACTCACAACAATCCTATTTTAGTGAACTTCAATTTCAAACGATGTCACTGTGCTCTCCATTTTGTAGCAGGAAATTTTTGATATATTTGCAAAAAATCATTACTAATGACAGAAATTAATACAATATTTTTCAATTGCTGCATTTGCAATCGAATGTCAACGAGCGGATGAGCCTATTGCGATTTGCGACAACTGGAGGCTAGGAGGATCTGGTGCTTCTTGGTTTAGCAATTGCATTCCTGGCCCACTGGCAGTTTTTTGTTTATCCCTTGGCAAGGCACGATACATTATAAATACCTGACATTTTTACTATTTTTGTCCAGTGTTTGTGTTTTTACTATTTTGGTGGTGAGATGACAGGACGTTTTCCAAATTTCATATGTGAAACCTATTCGCCATTTAAGTTCGGTCTTTTTTCAGGTTCTTCGGTGACATAAACCCCAGAGGCACTAAGTCGAAAAAAAGTAAAGGCAAAGACGTTCATGCAAAAGTAATCGGCCTTGCAAGAAGAGTGAATCTATCACAGGCGTTATATGTGCCGTTGTTAGAAATTGATGTTTAAGTAAACTTTGGTGGTGTTACTGCAGCTTACATCACTTTTGACCAGGGGTGAAAACTCGATCAAATTTTCACATGCCTTTGATTGAGTTTCTCAAGTTCGAGTTCATTACCCTGGTCAGGGGTTTGAGTTCATGTATTTGATAGAGTTTTTCGAAGTTCGAGTTCGCAGCCCTGCTTTTGGCTGATCGATTAATTTGATAAAAAATGATTTAGCTGTGTGTTGGGTGTGAAGTCTGGATAATTTTAAACAAACTCTGCTCCGTAATCTTCTTCAACCACAAAATTTCTGGCTTCCACTCATGACTATCAACTCCCACATTTGCAAATATATGACTCCGTCTTCTGCTCAAGACTCTTTCAAAATATGAATTAAAACTCTTGACTCCCTGATCTTATAAGATTTGACTGCTGCTATGCTAGCTGCTTTAGTGTAACTTTTTGTCCAGTTTTATCAATTTTAACATTTTCGAATTTGCAACTTCTGCAAACTCTGCTCCTAGCTCATGAGCTTTAAAAATGTCCAGTCAAACTCTATTCATAAGTGTGGATAAACTCCGACTATGATTAACTCTATAGACTCCGCAAGCTTCAAAATTTAGAACTCCCACTCATGCTCCTACCAAAATCCTCAAACTCCCGCTCTTCGACTTCACGCCCCTTGAAATCTTATCTTGAAAATTATCTTGCATAATTAACTTTAGAATTTGTCATCTTTGAAACTCTTGCCATAGCTACAAAATAGGTTGCATGATATTTCCCAAAATTTTCATTTTGAAACATTATAATTAGAGTAAAGTGCAAAAAATCGTGAAATTCTTACAATAGTCTCGTTATTATGTCACGTTTGCCAGCGTCTCATAGCCTGGTATCCAGAAATTTGATTTCAAAATAAGTTTGTCAACTAAACAACCCAGTCCTAAAACGTTTTCTTGTTTGACTTTATTTGGATCTATTGAGATAAATAAATAGACCTCGAAATGTATAGACCAGATTTCTAACAAGTGCCAATAGAAACTCGATTTTGATCCATTACATACAGAATTCCTATGTCCTACAAGAACTTGTGCCCTCATTTTATTGCATGGATAGCCTTCAACGTCTCCTAATAGGTGTTTAAATTTGACTGTAGACCATATATTTTCTGAAATTTCTTTCGAAACTGTTTTACAAGCCTTAAAGGCGTTCAGTGTGTATTTATGGTTTTATAAAAATATCAATTGTAATAAAATGATTTTCGTTTCCAGAATCTCGTTTTTTTTATTTTAACTGTAATATGTGTGTTTACTGTTGTGTCGTGCTAGTAAATAGCTTTGCTACTCTCGTAGTGGTTCGGTCATCGCGAGTGAGAAATTACCATCATGCTAGTATTGTATGGTACTACTGTCGGGTAAGGTAGCTGCCATCGAGATAGTAATTTTATTTACTATTTTAAGGTAAAAAATATTACTACTGGTGGGTAGGTTTACTGCCGTCAAAAAAGTAGTATTTTTTACAGTTTTATAGTAATTTTTGCTACCATCAATCTATGTAAATTTACTAAAAATACTGTTCATAATACTACTGATAGGGCCTGTAAATTTTTTTACATGGGGCCAGTACTTTTGCTGCCATTTTTTTTTAGTAAATTTGGAAAAAATTTTTTAACAGTGTAGGCAATAAGGTTCAAAAAACATGCGTGAGCTTTTTAACATCGTTAACATTGAAATGGTTCTAAAGATGTGTATTGTTTGTTTAGTTTTTAAAATTATATAAATCTTTATTTAAATAGAATGTAATATTATTCAAATTTCTAATATCAGAAACATATTTCATTATAATCCTTATTTCATTGAGGCCATTGTAAACTCATCAGAATCGCATGGACTATAAAATAGGTATGAGATGTACGTGTGAAGTGATATATTTACCGTTAAATAGTTTTGGAACTGTCATTATAGATTCCAGGATAATATTAGCAACTTGATCAGTGTGCTCTGTAGATATGTTTTGCCCATTATCCCTGAAATAAATATGGTAATTTCTAGCTTCAATTTCAAGGTATTTACAAGGTATTCGTGGTTTAATTTCCAGATTAAAAAGATATATTTTATGTGTGTGAATACATATTTTATATCACACAAAAACAGAGAATACACGTCGTGGGTTCAAACTGCATGTCCTCCAATGTTGCAAGAAATAAAAGATTTGGTCTTTTTCAACTGATATCAGCTCCTAACGAATCGTGAATAAGCCTCGTGAAAGATAAATCATTATTTTCCTCTAGTTCAAGTACATAAAGAAGTTGAATACAAATTTTCAAACGACCTAAAATATCCTTATTGTTACTCAGTTGTTTGACAACTTTTACCTACCTTGCTAAAAGAATGTATCCCATAACGACATTTGAAGGGTATCCGTCTATTTCATATTTGTTTTTTCTATAAGTTGATGGATTGTGTTGATATGTTCGTTCAAATTTTGATGGCTCGACGGATCCCCAATTCTGACAATATTAAAGGTACGTTTGTAAAAATCAATTGTTGGTTTTGCAACCTTGTTGGCACGAAATGCTGTGAATCGTTTCGTTATTATTATGTTGTTAGGATTAGGATAGGATTTACATATTTATCCCGGGGGAGGGAAAAGCCGATTAGACGGCCTAACCATATATTGCGAACCACGGCCTCTCGTCCGATTACCATTCCGTGTCGGGTATGGTATTAGTTAGTTATTGGTTGTCGGAAGAATAGACTTGACAGTAGAGGAAGCGGTAACCGACCAGCGGTTACGTGAACCCCCCCTACGGCGGCGAGGAGTCCAGCAATCCTCTCGCACATAAGACATAACCATCCCCACGTGGGATGCGAACCCACGCAGAGCAATCAGAGGTGCGGTGGCGAGCGTATTCCTAACTCTCAGCACGATGAGCCACACCTCCGCGCCGTTGTTGTTAAAATTCCTTTCCTGCCGTTTTTTCTAATTGCCTAATTGTTTCTAATCATCAGTTGCTTTGAAAGTTCCGGTGGGTAACGATTGTATTTTTCGCTAAAAGGTTTTTATTTATTACGAGAATTTTCTAGGGCTCTGATGAATTGGCTTTTTGTGTGCGATCGCGATGTGACATCATCAAAATTATAAATTGCGCACCTAGTAGAGGCTCTACTTTCGCGTTAGCGATCTGGGGGTCACGTGAAGACGGCTGGTACTAGATTGCATACCCGTACTATACTATAAATTGGTGTCCATATATTTGAGTATCGCTCTCATAATGACATAGTGTATACATTATACAACGTTACGATAAAATAACACCTTCACTATATTAGTGTTAACTACAAACGCAAAAATATCGATGGTATTGATTATAAATATCATATCATTACTTCACTGATGTGAAAAGTATGCAACAAACGTTTTAACAAAATAAACTCACAATATTTGATACAACGAAGTGAAATTCGCATGCTGTTGGAATACCGGGCGAAGAAAATTGCAAAGAATGATATTGAAGTTTGTAATCTCCGTTGGTAATGTTGTTGCTGAGAGATGTGAATGCTTCATTACTGTTTGGACGGTAAGATTGCACCTGAAATAAAGTTTATTGGTATATATATATATATATCACTTAACGTAACGAAGTCATAAATTTTGTAGCCTGACCATAATCCTCAACTATTTTACGAGATGAATAATTCTTTCATGCTGTCATTGTTAATTTTTCTTACATGACTTTAAAGTTCGATTTTTAGGTTAGACTGGAGCCTCGTAGTGTGGCATCGTCATATTCATTAAACCGCGAATAAGATCAATGCTCAAATATACAAAAGTCAAATGACTACGTCAAGAAGCCTAAAGTATTTATTTACAGGTATTCATATTGGCGGGGTCAGATAGTGCGTACTAGTTGTTGATTTTATAGAAAGTGTTTTTAATTTTATGGTGTGGTATATATATAGCCATCATCTATATTCTATGCAACTATTTGAAAATCATAAAAATGTGTTATCTGCACTGGTATATATGTCACTTTCAAATACATTTATATTTAAGTTGGAAGTTAAAAAAGTTTGTCACCCCTCGAAATTGTGTGTGAAATTTTAAGGGTGGATGTTCACTTTGTATATTTAGGAGGAGTGCAGCAGAAAATTCCTCGTTAGAACGTATTAGTATAGCCCACCCATAAAATGAATGTATTGTCAAATGTCACCTGAGTATGAATGTTGCTATATGTCCGCATTTCGTTTGAAATAACTTGTACGAACAAGAAAGGCTTTGTCATCCTGGATCCACAAAAATACCCCTCGGATCTGTAAATTGAATAGATAGTGATTATTTTTGCATTATTGGAAATGCGATGCTCACACATAAAGTCATAATTTTTTCTATGACTAATGAATACGGTATGTTTTTTTAATACAATTACAGATGACTCATCATCTTACCTTTTTTCTATCCGCCCGTAAGTTATAGTTCCACATCCAGTGGCGCTTACCTATAAAAGGAAATGAAATTGTAAAATACAAAAGTATTTTGAAAAGAAACTGCTGTGGTATGGGGTGATCGGTACTGTGAAAAATTCTATTAATATGATAATAAAATGGAGTCGAATTTAAAATCAATTGGCCTATTCATAAACACTATAATTAGCTATATATATATATACATACTACTCACCGTGGAACAGATGAGAAACTGCCTGGTAGCGGAGCATGAAGGTACCGAGTAAAATATAACATTTAGGGATGGGATCGCCAACCAAAAAAAAACACCGCGCCGTGTATCGTTAAGTAACAACAACCTTTCGATGTCATTCTATTAGGTATTAGCATGTCATTTCACAACTCATATATCCAGTACATAGGCTGATTTGCTTGGGCACGGAACCCGTGTGTCGCTAAACCGATCCCTTGAATTCCGCCACGGCCCTTGCTAACAAACGTAATAGACAAATTTGATGAGTCGTATTTGCATATTGTTTCAATTCATAGTCATGCATATAGCTCACCAACACCGTTTCGTAAAATTAGACATGGCAAACAAGGTAACAAATTATTGTGCGAAATTTTTCCCAAATTTCACCAAGGAATTGCTATTTGACTAGTGGAATTGCCATTATTGCAGATTTCTCAAATTACCATTCGAACTCAAAATAATATTCAGGATTCACGCAAGGACTTTGCAGGGTTTTTATTCACTATTTAATACGCAAGAGATAAAAATCGGAATAAAATCCCGAATTCACTCTATAATAATAAATCCAAACTTCGACGTTCGTAATAAGACCACGTATTACCCGTGCGCTGCACATCTTTACCAATAATGTGAGGTGCTCTGAAGGCACTCTCGTGCATCTTATCATTGTAAGAAAACAGGTATAATATTGTTAACTTTTAATAATAGTTATTAAGTAGAAAATGTTCATGTTTTGTGATAGGTGTGCCCCGAATATTTAAAGATCTCAATAGTGTGCTGAGATATAAAAAAAAAAGATGGGAACTACTACCCTAACCCTACCGCTAACAGAACAGTTCGCGCTGAGAGTGAGCGAGTCCGAGACATGAGGTTACGGTGGAATGTAATTAATTGGACGTCACAATAACAACACAGCGAAGCGCGAATACGCGTAGCGTTATTGCGTATAATGATGATAAACATCGTCCCTGGTTTCCACGAAAGCTTTGTACGCAAACATGAACGTGCTATTCATGTTCCTAAGACAAAATAAACTAAAAATAAGCATTTTTCTTAGAAAAAGGCACATCGTTACTTTATGAGACGCAGGCTAAAAAATGAGCACAAATCTTACAAATAAGGACGATATGGTAAACCTGGATACCTCATTTCCATATGACGAGTACATTTTTTCATCGTTTATTTGAGTAGGATTGTCTCCATATGTGTAATCGTACCAATCAGGTATTTGTCTTCTAATATTTCCCGCCTTTGTTGCCAAAGCCTCAAGAACATCTTCAGCTGGACTGTCTGTGAATTTAAAAAATTTATAATTTTCAGATGGATTTTTAGCAAAAATGGGACTAAAATTAATGTCTATATTGAATATATATTTGTAATCACACTTTCACGTAATTTTCATGACTACATGACAAATATCATTCAATGTTAACAGCAATCTTTACTAAGTAGAAAGCAAGATTTAAACCTAATTTCTTGGACTTCAATGGGAAATGCTTTCCATATAGATTCTTCAAGTTTCCACCGTAATTTTTCATAAACTTATTGGTTGTTCTATAACGAAGATAGGCTTCTTGCTTCATTGCAGACAACGATAATTCAGAAGGAACGTGCCAAATCATGATGTTTTCAACCTGAAACAATGAAGTATATTTTTAATAGGTATCACGGGCAAATGTATGTTGTCATTCATAGCAATATAACAAGTATTTGTATAATATGATAAGAAATTAATGAAAATACCTGCATATTATGATATGCATCATTTTTGTAGTCATCTGAGGTACATTTGAAAAGATTTCCAAAAATGTTATGACTTTCCCAGTTAGTCTTGTCTGTTTAAAATAGGGGGAAATTAATAAACAATTTGCTTTATATTTGCCAACAAGTAGACCGAACAGCATTAAGCAAAAGGAAGATTCAGTTGATAAGCTGTGAATTATTCGAATCCTATTTACCTGGATATGTCACTTCCTCTATCGGATCGTATCTTGACCACATATCATCTGATCCGCATTTCACGAAAATATTTGATTCGTGCACACTTGCTACCAAAGTCCATCCACCGCCATCAGACGTCATGTCACAGTAAACCTTCAATTAATGGATCAGAATTAGGTATATTCAAGTGTATTTCATTGGACACGAAATACATCTATGAATCGTTCCAACATTACATCGTCTTGTTGTTAGAATTTTTTTGTTATGAAAAAATCGCTATGCTTTTTAATACTATAAAAATTGCTTTGAAAGTTTCAGTAGTTGAAGATTGTTGTTGTCGCTATATGACGTGATGACGTCACCAAAATAAAAAAACTGCGCCCTTTGTAGTGGTTCCGCGTTCGCTATAGTTGCGATCTGGTGGTCAAACGAAGTCGGGAAGACTACGGTAGGCTACTTTAAATATTAGATACCCATCTACCCGTACTACTTCGTTTTGGCTTTCGTGTCCACAGATTTGGGCATTGCTCTCTTGTTTAGAAAAGGATACGAGTTTTTGTTTTTCAAAATCCGCTAAATCACATCGCATTCTATAATCTATTCACGTATTTTACGTTGTATGTCTAGTTAGCCTATGGTAAGATGTATGAGTAGATTCACCTCGGTTTTAGGATAATCCTTATCAGTTTGTATGTAATAAACACCATCAGCGTTGAAACCCAAGATCTTCAATTCGCGGCAGGATTTTACCGGACCGCTTTTTCTGTCGGCTACAAGTTGATTCAGCGTTTTCTCCAAGGAAGAAACACTGAAACCGTTGGATACAGATGTGTTTGTGTGCTCACGTTGATCCGAGTTTCCACTTCCCTTTGACGTAGTTGGGAGACAGTTGCACGAGGATTGATTTTTTTCGCCGCGTTGATATGAACCCATATTTCCATTTGTTGTAGTCTGAACGTTTTCAAACAAACATTATGCTTAAAAATATTCAGGCAATTCTTGCATATAAATAACAGCAGTGCCCGTATAATTGCAAGCAAAGCAGTTATATATATATATATTATATATTATCAAAGAATAAAACTTCCCTATACTGTTGATATCGACAATTCAGAAGTACGATATAAATTTCAAAATAAAAATTTTGTACCGCATATCGAAAATATTTGAATTTAAATTTCAAATTTGAATATATGACACTAGATGGCTGAATTTTTGATAATAATAGGAGTTTCAATAGAATTATAGAATGACGCTGATATCCGGGTCAACCAAAAGCATTAATCTTTTTGCTAGTTGTTTCCAGTTTCATTCAAAACAATTGCAAGACTGCATAACTAGATATAGAACATGAATAATAATATCGAAAATGCACAACAAAGAATGGAAAGTTCTAGGGATCCCTGACAAAATTCCTAATAGAAATATAAACGCAATTGCCCTATAGTTTCTGACTTTCGGTGATTTCCCAATCAAACAAACTGATAATTATTCTACGTCATACCAGCTTCATAGATAATTACTGATACTGGTCATTTATATAGTAGAAATCATCCACCCAGTTTCATATAGATTCGATTTATTATTCGATATATCTGTAGGAGAACCCATTTTTAGGCCATCTCACATAATTCATATACAGTACATGCGTATTCACCAAATATTGATAGTTTATACTTACAGAATTACACCAACAAAAGGCGGCAAATTTTCAAATAAAAATGTTATGCTAACAAATTTTCTGATATTCTGTCGTCAACAAATTTTATTTATTTTAAATTGAAGTCATTTCAAACTATTTGTTATTGCAAGCATTCTGTGAAACTATCCAGTTCATGGTCCTTTTTCTTTTGGGATAATGCAACTGTCTAAATGTTGAATGAGATATGGAGCGATTATTTAGTCCATAGGTTTTCAAGGTGCTCCGTACGAAGCCCCAGGCCTCCACGAAAGAAACCCAGGGGCTCCGCGAGCTATTCGATTACTTTCAAAATGCTGACTTGGCTAATATTGTAACTATTCAAAGACGCAATATCAGCTTTGATAAAATTTACAACAATATAGCCTCGAAATATGACAAAGAGGGGGTCAAAATTCGAATTGGAAATTTCCCCGCAACATTTTTCGCGAATCCAAAAAATGGATAATGAAATTTTTGTTGCGTAAACTATCCAATCCATGAGCAACGAGCATTTAAAGTGTCTTGTCTTGATATTTTAATTGTGCTCATCGTTGTTCACGTTTGATTCGAGATTACTATTAGGATTACTGAAATGAAAGAATAGAATTCTAAAATAACATAAAATACGTGATAAACTGCCAACTGTAAATAAATTAGAATCGTATTTTTGCGATATTGGGATCTGTCAAACTTGACTTGTTCTTTCGCGCTCGAGATTATTTTTAAGCAAGATGTCGCCGTTTAAAAAGTCACAAGGTCTGGGCAAAATACGAACGATTGAAATTTATTTTATTGTATGCGGATCCGTCGGTAGTTTCAGAATAAAAAAGATACATCGCGCCCACAATTGACTGTGTTTCGATTTCGCAGTTACTACGATGAATAACCAAAGAAAACACGAAATTTTGTGATTTACAATGTCTATAAAAGTGTTTTTAATTAGACGTGAGACTGCTGAAACTTGCAACTAAACGTATAGTGTGATTTTTCATTTTATGTTTTAGTTTTAATATGTCAGAATGCCGCTTTCAATCAAGAAATTTGAGTTGCGGATTTATCTCTTTTTTAATTAATTATTTTTAGCATTTCGTCGCCGATGACTATAATATGGTAACATGTGCTTCACATTGAACCCGTAATTCCCCACGAGAACAAAACAGCAACTATCGTCGACATTGTGGAACAATACATGTATGTGCCGAAGGAAATTTTTGATTTAGGGAGATAAACACCGGCGTAAAGATGGTTTCAAAAACACGCCATGATGACGAAAACAATCGGCGATTGTAACAAAATGCAATTGCGCGCGTTATTAGCGGCCTTTTAAGTCTTCAAAAATGACAAAGGGGAAAAGATTCGACCCCTAATTCATTATTATGTTTGTCAAGTGTCAAATTTACAGCTTTAGTATATATAATTTATCTTTGACATTTTGATTTATTTATGACTTGTATTAACCCTATTAAAAAGGTTTAGCATTTAAATTGGGTAAAATACTTTTTACTTACTCAGGAATATTAATCGGAACGTAACAATTTTAACATTTATTTTGGGGCTCCGTGAATAATAGTCAACCTTTTCAAGGGCTCCGCAACACCAAAAGTTTGAGAACCCCTGATCTAGTCTGTGATTCATAGAGGTATTATTTAACCACCTCCCAGAATTCATGAATATTAAGAATTTATATGTTCAGAATTTTAAATCTTCACAAAAAAAACGTACCCCAATGAAAGTTTATGATTACAGAGAACACTCATGATTTTTGCAAACGTGCAATAATGACCCTACTGTTTTCTGGCCCACAACACCAATAAGATTTAATATCTGAAAATGCTGCAAATTTTTCAAATAAAATTACCGCGCCTTATTTCAGTAAAAGAATTGAATAAATAAATAGTGCAATATTTATGTACGTATATATGAGTCAAGATAGCATGGTTAAAATATATAAGATTATAATATTGAGCTGAATCCCAAGTTCTGATGTAAAATCTTAGAAAACTATTCATAGCAAAAATAAATATTTTGAATTAAGAAATTTACAAAGCAAAGAAAATCAGCTAGGCAACCAGCAAATTGGAATATATGATTGATTGTGAATTTTGTGATGACTATATGAGTTTTAAGAAAACTTTGTAAACACGCAGATATTTGAATAAACACAAAGACATTAGTAATTTTGCAAGTTGTTTCGAATATCATTTACATATAGCCCACTCTAAAATGAAAATTTTCTGGTCGTATGTGAAGGAATATCGCTGAGTCGGCGGAGTGAAACAGGTTCGCTTTATGCAGCATGTTTTACAAATAAAATTTTTAAGCGAGGTTATATTGTAACTTAGAGCATCGTGGGATATCACATTATTGAGCAACAAAATTTCCCTATTATCGATATTTCAGGAAACAATGTAAATGCAACTTTGTATATATCTAGAAATTAATAATAAACCAATAAGGTACAGGAAAATATAGAAAGATTTATCACGTCACGCATAGAAGAAGAAAAAATCATAATTGAACACGCTCGCAAATTTATTGAGAATCGGCTATAAATCAAATTGATATCTTATTTTAACCTCAGGCATATGGATTGATAGGATTGTACGGTCTATACTTAGTAATATCGTAACTTTAAGTTGTTCCTTTCACTCTCCCTGATTATTTGAAATTAACTTTGCTATTACAAAGTACCAACGATGACAATCAACAACTGCCAAACGACGCTGCTTACATATTGCCAACGTTAATTAGGTTGAAATCAAGCGTTCTTTCATAAATTACAATCAAGAGGTAAAAAATATAAATTTGTTCCGGGAGAAAGACAACCCCATGTCAAATCCGGGTGTGCCCTAAATCTGCATAATTTATATACTTCGAGTACTTCAATCACAAAATGAAATACCTCCAGTATGATATATTCCAATATAAATGTCATGCTCCCAAATATTCTGATATTCAGCATTCAACAAGATCAATATTTAAAATTGAAATCATTTTAATCTTAGTTTCTGCAAAACGATTCAGATCACGGACATTATTATTTTATAATATTGTAACTGTTCAAATGCGCAGACGAAAATAAAAGCGATGAATTGGTCTGTGCCTCATAAAGGGTGGAATGGAGATGAAAGTAATACACCCTATGAATTGTGCCCCTTGCCCATTAAATATAATAACCTAAAATGCAGCAAATGGTATTTCAAATTCAATTCATATGCAATTAAGACTGATTAGCGTTTAAAATTCACAAAAACACGAAATTACCTTTCCTTGATGTTGTCCAATTTGTATGAACAGTCCAACCAACAGTAGGATAATAATGGATGATAAGACGACAACAGCAATCTCCAATTTCAGAATGGTTGCCCCATGTTGTTCGTCTCGACTCGACGAAGCAGATTTGTTTTGCTGTTGTGGATTATTACTGCATTCGCCCTCACTTTGTATTTGCCCTCCTGACGGGCCTCTGAGTGGAGGTCTTGGCACATTTCCGATGGTGACTTGGACCCAATGAAAAATATATATCAATAAATAGATAGACACGACTTACATTTCAATACGGGTCGTCATGGCGGAGTGGTTTGATTTTAATTTATCTTGGAGATATGATGACATCTTTGAAATATTTTATCGACAAAAACTACAAAAATTTCATCAATTACCTTGGTTATTTTCGTATCGAATTTCACCTTCATAGATATTGTCTTCCTCCGGTGGTCCTTGCCACATGACGACAGTTCTTTGAATTCGCAGTGCAAATCAGTTTTAAATCCCAGTACAAATATTATTATTTACTAATATGAAATATTTATCAACGTTATGATTTCAAATATTTAGTATATATAGAAAAGATTCCATCAAAGAAGTGAAAACTTCGACTGAGATCATATCTATCAAACTCATATGAAAAAAAACTCATCTCAGCGCCAGTATTGGCAAAATATATTATGAATCATTGTAAGATATCGTAATTTTCCCCGTTTCGGTACCATCACGAGAACAATATAAATGCA